AATACGTTTGCATTCTCATACGTTATTTACTTACGAGTGTTACATACATAATGGATCCATTCAACTTGATATCGTGCTTAATCGACCCAATTTCCAAATTGGTTCGGTTTAGTGATGTGGTATAATGGTTATAGGTTTTAGCAATTTTTTTGTTGGTTCCGAAAAATGCCTGCAAGAATTGTGTTCGGTTTCGTTCCTTTAAAATCCTTTCGGTATTATTAGTCTAAGAACCAAATTATCGTTTACTGCATTTTGAGACTACAAGGTAGAGTTTTTTTAATTACAAAATAAGGACAACGTTATTTTAACTTTCACACATATACTTTTCTTTTTATATTGCCCTTGTAGGCAGACGAGCATACGGCCCACCTGATGGTGTGTGGTTACCGTCGCCCATGGACTTCAGCAATGTCAGGGTCAGAGCCAAGCCGCTGCCTACCGCTTAATACTCTCCACAAGCCTCTTTTAAAGAAGGACATGTCATAGCGCTCAGGAAACACCGTGGAGGGGAGCTCATTCCATAGCCGGATGGTACGTGGCAAAAAATACCTCTGGAAACGCACTGTCGATGAACGCAGCGGTTCCAGATGATATGGATGAACTCTGCTCCGATGGCGGGAGGTGCGATGATAAAAACGAGATGAGGGGATCATCTCAAACAATTTTTATTTTTTTTTTATTTTTTTTTATTGCCTTTGTAGGCAGACGGGCATACGGCCCACCTGATGGTGAGTGGTTACCGTCGCCCATGGACTTCAGCAATGCCAGGGGCAGAGCCAAGCCGCTGCCTACAAATGCCTACAATTCCTCAGAGCACTCCCCATGGAACATACGATACAAAATACAGAGGGAACCGAAGTCCCTCCGCAGACCCAGACTTATAGTATAAATGACCGTAATGAAGTTCATCAAAATAATTGTATCGTATATAATAATTCTAATAATTACACGTTTGATGTACTAAATAAGTTTTCGCGTCGTGGCCCAAATTTAATCAATCAGTTTTCGATAAACGTTTACCCAAACAAAAACATCGATACTTCCCAGCACTATCAAGGGGGATATAGCTAAGAGATGTTTTCGCTGCTAATAGAATGACAAACATCCACCGACACGGGGCGATCGCTTGTCATCTGTCAGTGAGCTTCACTTAGAAGCTCCCATACAAAGTTCAGTAGAGTAGTTAAGTGTTTTTGGGGATATTAATAAGAAACATAATCAGACGTGAGAAACTACATACGCTTGAAGGAAACTTATTGACCTGCAATGGCACAGGCCAAAATCCGAGAAATTTCAGGTTCGAAACCTTATCTCTTTTCTCAGTATTGGGACCAAATCTGACACTTTTTAATGACGATAGTCCTCCAGTTACATCAATTTTCAGCAGCACAAATATCTGCAGAGACTAAAATCTTGAGATTGCCACAATCTTAATCGTGCCAACGCTTGATTCTCTGGATCTCTTTTGGATCTCGTTTTTCGCACATACCTGTCAACCCATTTTTAAACTATTGCATAGTTTTCAACGCAGGCCTTGAGCGCGGCGACCGAATCATGAAATTCCGTAACGAAAAAAATCTAACCCCTTACTCCGCCTACCATGTAGCTCGCGTTCAACACATTCACACGTTGCGCTTGTGTAGTGTTTGTGAATAAGCGCGTGGTGTGACGTCACACTGCATGCGCATCATGAAAAGTCTGCCCATCTCTCTCTCGCGCGGTCTAGCTTATGAGTGTGAAGGGGACAGTTAATGTTTTGCTTTTATTAATGTTTAATATAGCGTGGTCTTGTTTTATTTTGTTTTAATATTAAATTATCATTGTCTAATTATAATTGCATAAGTTGATAAAAAATGCTATGCAATAACTTTACCGCGGCAGTTCCCGAGTGACACATGTATTTTTTTTTTTCAAATTATCACCTTGCTTTCTGGCAATATATCCGAAGTAAACCAGATTCCTGTGGAGACGCATGATTGTGAAAGTTGTAGTCTGTGAACATACCACTATATTTTCAAGGTTTTTTAGTCAAATGTACACACAAAAAATTAAGTTTATTCACGATTAATTTCGCTCTTCTAACTAGTGCTAATAATATCTTTTACAAATATGGAACTGATTGACTTATTCCAAAATAGTAAATTTAAGTGAACATCACAAAAAATCCATGTTTAGAAAAATTTTGTCATTATTTTTACTAAATTTATTCAAAGAAATAAAATTTACAATTTATTCAAAGAAATAAAATTTACAATTTGAAACATATAGCTTGTATCCAGGGCACCTCTTCGTGGCTCAGAAATGTCCTATCTCAAGGTGGTTCGCGGCATTTACATTGTAGATTTTTATGGGTTTCGGTAACCGCTTTACACCAGGTGGGCTGTGAGCACGTCCATCCATCTAAGCAATAAAATAAAATGAAAAAGAAATGAGTTCTAAGGTCTCAGTATAATTACAACGGATGTCCCACCCTTCCAACCAAAACGTATTACTGTTTCACGGCAGAAATAGGCGCAGTGGTGGCACCTACCCGTGCGGACTCACAAGACGTCCTACCATCAGTAATTACGCAAATTTTCCAGGTGACAGGATACCGGACAGTTGACCCCATGGTCGAACTAGGAGAGGCCCGCCTAGACGCTGCCACATTCTCAAAAAATATCCTGTAAGGTCCAGAGTCCAGGGAAAAGTACAATGCTCAATCCGATGGTGACTCTTTTAATGTAAAAAAAAAAACGTGCAAAGCTAGAATGCCTTTGTTTATAAGCCCGCTCACTCTAAGGCCGATCAAAGTAAACATTACAAAACTCAATAAAACGACACTAACGTATGTACGTCACTAAACGTAACCAAACTAATGAATTATCCGTTAAATGGCTTAGTTTCGGCAAGCAGCGGCTTGGCTCTGCCCCTGGCATTGCTGAAGTCCATGGGCGACGGTAACCACTCACAATCAGGTGGGCCGTATGCTTGTTTGCCTACAAGGGCAATAAAAAAAAAACTTATAGCTAAGTAAAAACAAAGAGAAGCAAGCTTAGACCTCACTTTTCCACCCCTCCTCGTGACACGGCAAACACTAATGTTTTCCCAACAATTTCTTATGCTCAATAATAAGATATATCGCAAAGGGACGTTATCCCCTACCCTTCTGTTATTCAACGAAATTGAAATATTACAGATAAATGCAGAAATTTCTAATGAGCACTTAAATTGATTGCAGGTCTTTTATGACCTGTAAAATCTAGGGAATATATGTGGTAATATAAAATTGTAATAGTGGGACATGAATGAAAATTACTCAATAGCCATGATATTATAGCCAGAACCAATAAAGAAAACTATATGTTTAGTCTAAAGAAATTGATGCATAGGCACTATACACAGAGCTTGCAAAAAGAAAAGTTACCGGTTATGTCTCAAGATGAATAACCGAGCTCACATCGGGATGTCTATGTGCTCTAGTAATACATAAGGTTGACCACGACGTTGGCCAGCTATATAGCGTCTGTACTTAATTTAATCTGAGAATGTAGAAAAAATAATGACCACGATTTTCATCTTAGTCGCTTTCAAGTTTGGCAGAGTGGTTGTGGTCATTAGTTCGGGTGGTGGTGCGCTTCACAAGACGTCGCCATTCCTCATTTACTTCGTGCTTTTCTGGTGCACTCGTTGACGGGACCTTTTAGACCTGCCTTTAAACGGTTTTCTTATTTTAACATAAATTGTAACGTAAATTGTAAATACCTACATTTAATGTAAATCATTCGCTCACACACCATTTAATTCGTAAACAAACAACAATGTATGAAATGAAATTATCAGTGTTTAATTGAATATGCGTTCAAAGATTCCGTATGATTTATTTATCTAAGTACAAGTAGCATGTTGAGTTTTTTTTTTTATTACATTTGAACTATATACTATATTACAATGCTAATATTATCAACAAATTATGAGTACCTACAGAGCTGTGGGTAATGACGAATAATCAATTATCACATAAATTGTCTTACTTTGTAATCAATTGTGGAAAATCACAGGTTGACTTTGATTTTGCTTATATGGATTATTCCTACTAAAGACTTTTTTAAACAGTTAACGTCCTCCGTGACCTCAATGCAAGTTCAGTCATTTATACCATATAAATATAGTATAAAAGTCTCCTTGGTGCTTTTACAAACAGTCCATAGACGTAGCCCACTGAGTTTCTCGCCAGATTTTCTCAGTCGGTCACGATTCCGATTCGTTGGTAGAATCAAGGAGGGACTGCTCTTACTTAGGCTAGAGTTAGCCAGTTCTCTTAGGTTGAGCCCGTGAGCTCACCTACCCTTTCGCACGTAGATAGAATAGCTCCCGTCAGGCTGCGAACATTTAGATGAGGGGAAAAGTACAAATAGGGTAGACAGGGCAAGACAAGATGGTTAGTGGTTGTCACAATATGGCTTCTAAGCGAAACTTAAACGTTAAATATATTTAATTGTTTCATTACTTTTTAAGTCATGATTTGGCTGAGGACTGATTACAGAATTTATAACAGTCAGTTAGTTCTGAGGTATAGCCATTGACAGTGACATTTTTGTTTTCTAAGTAACCCTAAAAGCCTTGAAACTCAAATGCGTCACAGTTTCAATAACATTGTATAATTTAATAAGTATTTAAATAAAATATAATGCTCTAATACCACTGCAGATCTTGTTACGTTTCAGTAAAGGCCATTATAATGGAAGCCACATTTTCGTGCTTCAACTACTCTGCGGTTGATTGATATTTTAAATTATCAGATTTATTATTCGTTAAACAGCGAGTGAGTTTCAGCTTTGATTTTTGAACATTCATCGGCGCGTCAGTTAGCAAACAGATTAATTAAACATTCTGTTTTAACGAGGTCTCAATAATGTGGAATTAAATTTGAATTTAGTGAAATTTGTTAACTAGATGGTGTATTTCTGTTTTAGGATATTGATTTTGAATACAATTTTCTATGTTGGAAGTTAGAGATAATGTCAGATTATAACGAAAAATCTGATGAATGGGAAGACGGAAAATTTGTTTTCCAGTTCGTCCAAAATTTGGCACCGGGTACATACGTACCTCGTAACAGTGAGTAGTGTTAACTATAATTATGAATTAATTTTTGTTTAGATTTCATGACCTGGAATTTTTTTTTTTCTTGCAATATTATCTTTTTTTATGTTTGGTTCATCTCGTCAATAACAAAATTATTATCGTAAATTCAACATTTATCAACGACAAAGATGAGAAAACCATAATAAGTGTCACGTTGCCAAATAGAAAATTCCCTAACTTTGATACAATAGATTTGAGATTGTTAGTACACATTGTCATAGTCATGAAGTTCATATTTGATGACCTAGGAAGAATAACGGGCTTATGTCCTTCTTGTAATTACCCGTAAAAATATTTTAATAATATAGTAAGCTAGAATATATTGTATATTAATTATCTAGTGAGAGTTTTTTAACGTTCTCGATAGCGTTAAAGTTAACTCAAATTTGTATGCAGTTGAAACAACGCCCCTAGCGGCAAACGTAGGCGTAGGCGTAAAACGTTCCAACTCCATACAAATTTTTACGCTATCGAGGACGTTAATAAACTAAGCACACAGAATAAGGCTCCATAGCCCATCCAATATCCGTGCGTTCACCCTAAAGTTTAAGGTTATACCGATAAAAACTGTCAAATTGAAATACAGTTTCTTTTTAAACAGAATTCTATCATCAGATTCCAGTGACAGCAAGAAACAGAAGAGTTTTGTCTAAGGATGGGGAATCTAATTTCTCAAAGCCATTGTTACATTGCCGGAAGGGATTTTCCTACTCNGGCTCCATAGCCCATCCAATATCCGTGCGTTCACCCTAAAGTTTAAGGTTATACCGATAAAAACTGTCAAATTGAAATACAGTTTCTTTTTAAACAGAATTCTATCATCAGATTCCAGTGACAGCAAGAAACAGAAGAGTTTTGTCTAAGGATGGGGAATCTAATTTCTCAAAGCCATTGTTACATTGCCGGAAGGGATTTTCCTACTCTTTCATGACTATAGTCGAAGCCAAATGGAGATGGACCTTATTCTACTTATTTCTGGCCTTCTGCGCAGATTGGTTATTTTTTGGTATAATTTACTGGTTCATCGCACTTGTCCATGGAGACTTATCTGAGGATCATCTGCCTCAATACCAAAACGCAACCGGTTGGGTGCCTTGTATCAAAAATGTCTACGGGTTTACGTCTACATTTCTCTTTAGTATTGAGGTTCACACAACCGTTGCGTACAGTCAAAGGGCGATTACCCCCAACTGCCCAGTAACCATACTAGCTATGTGTCTTCAATGTATAGTCAGTTCTATCTTTCAAGCTTTCATGATCGGGATATTGTTTGCAAAAATAACACGACCCAACGCTAGGGTTGATACTATATTATTCAGCAAACGGGCCGTTATTTCTCTTAGAGACGAGAAATTGTGTTTAATTTTAAGGGTTGGCAATGTGCGGAAATTTAAGATACAAAATGTTAAAGCTACAGTTATTCTATTGAAGTTTATTAATAAGAACAATAACATGTATTTTGTAGAGCAAAAGGAATTAGGTGTTACAATGGATGGATATGAATCGACATTTTCTTTGTGGCCAATATCTGTTGTTCATATTATCGATGAAAAAAGTCCACTTTACGACATATCAGCTGCGGATTTACTATGTGGACATTTCGAAATTTTGGCTATATTCGAAGGTATTAATGGAATCACCGGTCAAGCAGTCCAAGCAAGAACTAGCTACACAGAAAACGATTTGCTTTGGGGTCATCGTTTCGTTCCCATGATAAACGATATAAACAAGATAGCATATGATTTATCTAAACTCAGCGCAACGCATGAAGTAGATACCCCACTGTGCTCGGCTAATGAATATGATGTTTTAATGACGTTAGTTGACTTTGAAGACAAAATATCTGATAAGAAATAGTCGAAATTAATTCTCTTGATGAATTATATCTGTTTATATCCGTGTACAAATATTTGAACGTTTTGGAAGCATCAAAGAGGATTTCATTATATAGTTTTCAGTAAACAAACAATACTGTCGGTAGTTCTCTAATTTCGTACTTTGTTTTATTGTTTTCTATGTTTCGTAAAGCCATTTTATGTTTTATATTAGTTTATACTCGATTAATTTGATTTTTTTTTTTTTACATTTCAAACATAATAACTTTGGCATGAGAGACGATGAATGATGAGCCATAGATGAAGCATGATGATGTATGTACCTTTGTGATATGAAGTGAATTTTTTTTTCTACGTATTCTAGTAACCTCTATGGGTTAGCCTAGATTCACCCAGCGAGTAGGTGAGCTCACGGGGCTCTCACCTGAGGACGTTGAGGACGTTGCTAACAATAGTCCTAACAAGAGCAGTGCTTTGCGGAATCTACCACCGGATCGGAAACGCGACTCACTGAGAAGATCCGGCGAGTAACCCAGCGGGCTGTGCTGTGGTTTAATTTGCTCGCCGAACCGTTCGTCGCTAGCGACGGGTTCGACAAGAACGGTGTCCGGTGCTTGAGGTACCTAAAAGCATCGTGAGTGGATCGGGAGAATTCGAAATGACATGTTTAGGGCGACGTCGACTGTTTTCCATTCGTTCCACAGGATCGGGTATGTAGTTACCAGCGGCCACGATGACAGGGTTTTCGTGTCGTGGGGCTTTCTCGAAATGGCGCACTGATGCCGGCTGTAAATACTTACTGATGGACTCGAAATCCATGTCGTCGTGGAGACCCACATTTCTTACGTACCATTGTGTGAAGTCAAAATGAGTATCCATTTAAAGCCGCAACAGGTCGTAAATGTCACGTACCTAAGTAGACTTACAATATTATCGTTCTACGTAATTAATTGATAGCCGGGAGTTTTAGCAAATAGAAGCCGATGAGTGATGAGAGAGCCTACCATTACTACCAACTCATTTCCCAAAGAAATAGTATTCACAATCTACACGTTTTCTAACTTCAGTCTCGAATACATTTTAACTCTGGTTTGTCGATTTGAAGTTCCAACTTGAACAAAACTGACATGACGTGAGGCTGGTACTGGGAAGTTTGTTTTACGCCAGTTTATGGAATATGAACAAAAAGATCAAGTGCACAGGAAAGTTTAATAAAAAAGTCTAAAAGTTTACGCATTAACACAAAATAAAAAAAAGATGTGTNTTTCTAACTTCAGTCTCGAATACATTTTAACTCTGGTTTGTCGATTTGAAGTTCCAACTTGAACAAAACTGACATGACGTGAGGCTGGTACTGGGAAGTTTGTTTTACGCCAGTTTATGGAATATGAACAAAAAGATCAAGTGCACAGGAAAGTTTAATAAAAAAGTCTAAAAGTTTACGCATTAACACAAAATAAAAAAAAGATGTGTAGTGTTGTGGGACACCGGATAGGAACGAAGTTCCTTATTATAAAAATATTAATTTTAAGTTCTATTCAAGGTATCAAGACAATAATTATTCGGGTATACATTTTTTATTATGATTTTTTTTTGGAAAAAAATAAAATAAATACTACTTTACAAAGTTATCAACTTTATTTTATTCACAATGATTTATAAAAAATATGTAATAAAAATATGCTATTTTTTGTACGTTATTACAAAGTTAAGTCGTACACTGTGTGCATTACTAATAAAAATCTTACGTTACGGACGTTTTTTCTAGGATACCCCTCCGCATCGTCCCATAAGGAGCTTCGTTCCAAAAAATCAGTCATTTTCACTAGAACTCAGCCCTAAACTAGTATAACAAATATCTCAGTCGCTCATATTAATGGCATAATTAAAACATTCCATTTACAAAGCATAATGACAGATGGCTCTATCAGTCTTGTCTGTTGTGCGATATTTATTTGTTAATAAACGTATCTTCATCATTCACGTGCTTCGAGAACTCAGCAACTCTCTAAACTTGGGCTCCTGTTAGCTCCAACTAGAGATAAAGTGTTCCCAATTAATTAACAAAACTTTGTAACGTAGAGTCGATTTGTAGATTAGACAGATACATTTTTAAGTTGTCCATTATGAACATTATAACCAGACTGAATACAAAATTAAAAAAATGTGTTTTTTTGTTCATACTAATAGGTTTTTGCTGCATTTTACATATTGTACATAAACATTGGTAGGGTGTACTAGCGAGCCCATAGGTACTTACCCGAACCAGCGTCTTCCTGCCAAGAAACAGTCAATAAAGACCCTTATATCCTTATTCATAAGCTCAGTGTGAACTGTTACCAGTAACATTGCGCTATATCTTGAGCAGCAATCGAATTCGAAGAGGATTGAATGAGAAAACGCGCTGTATCTATTTTATTTATATATTGCATTGATGGGTGGATGAGCTCACGGCCCACCTGGTGTTAAGTGGTTACCGGAACCCATAGACATCTACAACGTAAATGCCACCACTCACCTTGAAATATGAGTTCTTAGGTCTCAGTATAGGTGCATCAGCCGCTCCACCCTTCAAACCGAAACGCATTACTGGTAACTACCCGTGCGGACTCACAAGAGGTCCTACCACCAGTAATTACGTTAAATAAATAACTTATTAAATAACTTATAATTTTGGGGTTCGATTTTTGCTACACGATGCTATTCCTTCACAGCGGAAGTCAATCGAGAACATTTGTCAAACAGCGTGTCCCTTCTCATATATTTCAACTCTTCTAATCTCAATACTCAAACTGTTCTAGAACTAATAAACAGTTTGACGAAGCTCGCTGTGTTTCTGTCGGTGATTCCGAAGGACCCTCGTTGTGAGTGCAAATAAATGTACCGGGAACCAGGTTTGTTTAGGGCATTCACTGTTAACTGGACGTAGTCTTGCAAAGAGGACTTTATCTATTTAAATAAAAATGAATTGCTGTTCGTTAGTCTCGCTAAAACTCGAAAACGGCTGGACCGATTTGGCTAATTTTGATCTTGAATTATTTGTGGAAGTCCAGAGAAAGTTTAAAAGGTAGATAAATAAATGAAAATTAAATAAAAATAACAATTTTGTGTTTCCTTTGATGTGTCTCCCGTCGGACGGATTCCTTTTGCTTGTTTTAAGTTTATTTTATACAAAAGCTTAGGTCTTTTATTTATCGATTGAGGCACTACGCAGTCTGCAGGATCAGCTAGTACTAATATATAAATCTACAGTAGTTTTTACGGATGTTCCGTTATAACTACTGAACCATGCATCCGATTGACTTGAAACTCGGTATCCATGGAGAAAATACACGTACTTAATGGATAGGCTAATATTTATATGAGTGTTGGACTCCCTACACCAGTTGCGGGGGCGTTCATGATGAGAATCTTTGTGGGGGTGAGAAATAATAATGTTAATTTTAAATGCCCAGCGAAGTGGACGGGTACAGCTAATCATATATAAAGCCTTATATACTTTGTTGTAGATCTTATTTTTGTTCCGATTTTGGAGAAGTAATTGTATCTTGATCGGTCTTTTAGCTACGATGAAAGACATACTGATAATAATGAGCTCAATATATTATCTATATGTTTTACCACCCACGAATATGAATATAATTCTGCCACGTACAACCCGGCTTTGGCATTAACTCCCCTCCGTAGTGTTTCCCGAGCGCTATGACATGTCCTTCTTCAAACTAGGCTTGTGGAGAGTACGTAATGGTAGGCAACAGCTTGGCTTTGCCTCTGGCATTGCTGACGTCCATAAGCGACGGTAACCACTTACCATCAGGTGGGCCGTATAAACATTACTTAATAAAACTTTATCTAAACTTTAAAAAAGTTACAGCTAAAAATAAATTTAATAATTTTAAGTGAGATGGTCTAAGATTTATTTGTCATAGCTATTGATGAAATATTTTAGATAAAGGCGAGGTTGAGCTTTAAGACTCTTTTCTCTTGATTATTTCCATGTTATTTCCAAGCTTTAGGATACCTATGACTATGTTGCGTTATTCAGGCTTTCGTAGTGAAGAATCTCATTTTGGTGATGGAAACATCCAATGAAACAGTCTAGTATTCATAGAATTGTTTGATAATGTGGACCCTGAACAAAAATCTAAGTGCCAACAAATGCTTCGCTGACGTATTTGCTATTTATTTACGTAAGGCGATTAAAATCGTTTAGTGCCTTTATTAATACAGGTAGCCCTCCTTTAACACGGTATTTTACAACACGGTTCTAATCTAACATAAAAAGATAAATTTATCGAAACACCCTTATAATACCTACTGTACTTCTACAAAACGATAATGAGATTTTTGTTCAAAATAATTTAGAAAATTACATTTTGCGCTGTGAACATGGAATATATGGAAATAACCGAAATTTTACTGCTTATATTTTAAGTTTAATAGGTAAAAAAATACACACAAGCATTGTTGAGAAGTTTCATTCAGAAAAATTACTCTGATTTTTGTTCTAACTTGTAGTCTCTTAAAACGCAATTTCCCTTTTTTTTCTACCTAATCTGATAGCCTTGAGAGGCTACTTCAGCGGAACCTTAACTAGTAGGTGAGCTCATGGGGCTGAAACCTCCACCGGATCGGAAACGCGACCCACTGAGAAGATCCGGCGAGAAACTCAGTGGGCTGTGTCTGAGGGTAATTTCCCATAACCCAGGACTTTGTAGGAACGTATCTACAGTGTTACAGGACGGTAACCAGTAATTTGATATTTACTTTTATAAGACGCTTCTTCTGAGTCTTTTCGTAATCAATCGGGACGCCATATTTATGATGAAGTATCGTATAGTTTTCAGTTTTACGAAGCCTTTGACGGTGTGTTGTCTATAAAAGCAAGATCCCATTGTAAAGTATTTACCTGAGAATGGTCAGCAACGTCCTCTGAGTATTTTACCAGCACTGCGATCAATAACCAGCCTTTAATAGAAGTAGCATGTATTACGAACCGGAATGAACGGATATGAATCATCT